ATTATATTTACATTATAGTAACCCTGATCTGATAAGGGCTAAATGCGTAAAAAAGGTACATGAGTGTGTATGAACCCAAAAAAATTTGACACAAACCAAACTATGGTTCAGTTCATAATAATAAAAAAAGTTTAATATACATAGAAGGTGTCCCCGGATGGGCTGTAAAAGAGGAAAATCTTTTCCTTTTCAACTTTAGAGAACATTTTATTTTTCATCAAAGTTTTTGCTTTTTCTAAAATAATAATATTTCAAACAGAAGTTTGCTTTAGTAAAATATTGACATTATTTCAGTAAATTAAAGAGATATTCAACTTCTATTTAGATTACTATTGGTTTTGTAACAGATATTTTTTCAAAAAGGTGAAAATTAAAAATGTTTTCCCCTCTTTTTCAGTCCATCCCTGTATATGCTCCACACACGCAACACTTATAAATAAAAAAGGTACGACACATATCATAATAATTAACAATCACGTCCGAAAACCATTCATATTTTTCTAAATTGTAAATACGTTTCATTTTTACAAATTTTATAATGTTTAGAATGTTAAACGTATAAATAAAAAATTACTGATATAAAATACAGGGTATCGCGTTTAAAAAAAATTGAGATTTTCGTAACCTCGCGTTTCCATCGAATCATAATAGAATAGAAATTTTTTAGAAAGGATTCAATATAATTTATCTTTTACACGTTTGTAGCTTATCTACCTTTCAAATAATCAAACCATGAATAAAAAAGTCTACTTGGAAAATATTATAATAATCAAAATATAATCGCCACTCAACAAAAAACCACATAAAAATTACACTCTTTCTGTTGACGGAAAGAGGCCACCGTATTAGTTTACGAATCGTAAATCTAGGATAGCTCAACCAGCGCCACTTTAGGAACAACACTGTTAATTGGAACCCAACAGTGAATGGTCGAGTGAGGGATCCTACCTGTGCATGTGAATTAATTTTAATTATTTAAAGGAGTGTACCGTTTTTTGGGTTTTTTGGTGATCCGATGGTTTTTGGTGATGCAGATAGGTAGCATCTACCAAAACTACCAAAGAATCAGCTTGGACACGGCAAAGTCTGTTGGAAATTGTGGTACTGTGTAATTGAGCGTAATCCTCTCGAGTTATATGCCCATAACCAAGATGGCGCGGTACAAAATTATTGGTTAATGAAACCAAAACATCTTGAAAAATCTCACTAACTCGAGGTTGCTGTTTTGGTTTCATGCCGAACATCATCCCTAAAACTTTCTGACTGAGATCAACCCTTAATTTGACAAGAAAAAGTGCAATACAGTTTTTCTTGCTTAGGTTTTTCCTAGATTTTATGTCATCGTTATGTTCGGCAAGAGTATTGAATTGTGCCCTATTGAGACCAGTCAAACATTTGTAGTCTTCATCTTCCATATTTTGAGAATCGAAATGTTTGACAGTTTCTCTAACGCACTAAACGCTCAGTGAGGCGATTTACGAGTGTTCTGGATTACCTTAAAAAATTATTTAAATAAATATATAAATCAATTACTGTCTTTTATTCATTATGAAAGACAAACTTTCCCGCTACGTGCGGAAAAATTTTTCCCTTTTCCCGCACCTATCGAGGAGTGCCGGAAAAACATGTTTTTTAATTTAGAATGCATAATTTAGTTCTACTGGTTGGGTTAGGTTAGGTTAGGTTAGGTTATGTTATGTTAGGTTATGTTAAGTTAGATTAGGTTAGGTTAGGTTAGGTTAGGTTAGGTTAGGTTAGATTAGGTTAGGTTAGGTTAGGTTAGGTTAGAATGCATAAATTAGTTAAAGTAAGTTCTACTATTATTAAGTTCTATTATTAAGTAAAAAGTCTTAGATCTGTCACAGTATAAGGCTTATAGTAGCTACATATACTATGGTTCTGTGTTAAAACATGTGTTGTTGCCATATTTAAAATTTCGTCAAACTTTTCCAGCTTAGATTTTTCGGTTAAAAATTGTTAAATATTGGGGCCTTTTCAGACTGATGTAATAGTTTTAAAAATATTAGTGATTTATTTTACGTATTTTTTTATTTTTTTTTCATTTTTAAGAGATTTCTTGCATTAAATGTTTTTTTATTAATAATTTTAGCCGCCCGTATACACCCTAAATATAACGTAATTTAGAATTTTACGCAATGGAAATTCATTTTAAGCTTATACTTTTAATATAAAAACAAATTTTCGTTTTCCTCCCTTAGATTTTCAAGTTTTTTGAAATATAAAAAAAAAACATGAGAAACCCAAAACATCCATTTAAAACGATACCGTCCTCTGGGGTCGCAAGTCCAGACTGTAACCAGTGAGTTACCCACCTCTCTTGGAAAAATAGTTCTTGTCTGATCTTCATATTGACATTATCGAAAATAGTTATACAAGATAATGTTAAAACCAAAATATCTAACATCTTAATCATCATCGTTAAATATTGTTATTACATTATCTGTCTTCAGATCAATCCAAATAAATTGTTTCGTACAAGCTGTGTTAAGATTGTAGCCTAAAAATTATATCATATACGAGCCCCTTCCCATTTCAGTTGGCCCACCTACTGATATTTTCTTTATATTACGACAATAAGAAAGTATTAAAGATTACATGCTTTTTTTATATCATAAATTAATTAACAATGCATCAATTTATTTAATTTATTTATTAAATTTATTAACACATGGAGCATTATTGCATTATTTCAACTTGAATTTAATTCGTTAGAAAATAAACCAAAATCGAAGGTAGCTTTGAAAAAATAACAAACAATAATGCAAATAACTGTCACAAGACAATTTAACCTCTTTTAAGCTAATTCGGTCTAATAAAATGGGTAGAGGAAAAATCATTGACGAAAAAATACGTTTTCTTGTTATAAAACATTGCAATTCTGGAAAATCGAACTCGGAAATTGCAAATATATTAGATTTATCACGATATAGTGTAAGAAATATAGTTAGAAGATACAAAACTACTGGTTCAATCAGCCCAAAGCCCCGTCATGTTAGAAAAAGCAAGATTACAAATGCCGATAGACGAGCATTGAAAAGAATTATTGAAACCAACCGTCGTGCTAATTACCTTGAATTAAGTGCTCAGTGGAGTAATGCTGTTGGAAGACGAATTTCGAGATCTTCATGTCAAACTGGGATTTGGGACTTACAAAGTAAGTTTATAATAATAAAAACAATAAAAAAAACATGGATTGAAGACACTAAAACAATCAAATATGTTTGCTTAAAATTGATAATATTGTTACAAGTTAAAGAAAAACCACTACTAACTGCGAAACAAAAAAAAAAATCGATTAAGATGGACAAAAGAACATATGAGTTGGACTTCTCATCAATGGGATGCAATACCATGGAGTGACGAGGCCCGATTCGAAGTTTGTGTTGGAGATAGCAGAAGTCGAGTTATTCGCAAAAAACATGAAGCGTTCCATCCAGATTGTCCCAAAAAGAGAAGTAAAATTTCCCGCATCGATCATGGGCTGGGGCAGCATGTCATCTAAAGGAATAGGGAAACTGCAGTTTACTGAAAAAATTGTAAATACAAATAAATATTTGAACATTTTGGAGGAATCACTTTTACCGACTATGGAATTATATTTGACATCAGGGAAAGATTTTGTATTGCAACAGGATGTAGCAGGGTGTCACACGTCAAAAAAAGCTCTAAAATGGATGGAAGACTTCGGTGTTCCACTTTTGGAATGGGTTTCTAGTAATCCTGATTTATCACCAATAGAAACGTTGTGGCATGAGATGAAAAAGGTACTTCGAAAACATCCTGCAAGAACAATACCTGAACTTAAACAAAAACTTCAAGATATATGGGACTCGTTTACACCAGAATTTTGCCAAGGCTTAGTTAATACCATGCCGCAAAGAATTTCAGCTGTAATAAAAAATAAAGGTGGCGTTACTCAATGGTAAACTTTAAAATTGATTAACGTTTGATTCCAACTATTTGTTTATTTTTTTTAATTTTATGTTAAATAAATATTTTATACATATTTTTTGTTATTAAACGATATTAAACATATTGTTCAACGAATAAAAATTGGACAGTTCATGCAATATTTATATTTTTAATCTTTAAATACGAATTTCCTAAATTTCAATAGGTGGGCCAACTGAAATGGGAAATGGGCTCGTACGTAGGTACATTTTTAACTTTTAATTCTCTTTCAGTTTAATCAATTCGTTTTGCTTTTAATGAATCTATCTTTTCTAGCTTTGAAATGATACAAGTATTTCTTCTTTGCGCCTGATAACTAGAGTTAGTTATCCATAATAATTAAAGGCTTAACGACTTAAATCTCTTGTATATTGGGATTAATTAAAATCATTGCTGTAAGTTTTGCAGACCTTTTACATTCTATTACATAAAAATATCTATCCCTGCCTTTCGAAATGTGCCAACATAAATCATGGTTCGTGATGTGATTGATCATTGAATTTTTTCACGTTTCCCCGTATTTTTTTGTTACCAAACTAACATTAACAATTAAAATATATTTGATGATCAAATTGCGACATTCTTCCTTTTTTGGAAGGCGAGGTTAAAGTCTCTTGGGGTTTTAAAATAAAGTTGTCTATGAAAATCAGCAACGTAGACTTTATAGTTGATATTGATAGTGGAATAAAATAAAGGTACATGTAGTTATTCATTTTCTGTAATAAAAGTATTAAACTAGTACCTAGATAATTTTTTAGAACTGGATAATACACTTTTTATAGAAAAAACAACTGATGTAAGTACTTAGGTACTGAAGGTAGAATAGAAAATAAAAACATTGATTTTCGTTAATAAAAATATCAGTATCACCCTGTATATCATTCAAAAATAGTAATTAATTATTTTTTATTTAATTATTAGACTAGTACATTCATTTAAAAAAAAGCAAGATGATAGGAGACGCCTATGGTTGGAAAATATTTTATTGCAAAATTATAATGATCAAATATTAAATCCTTCTAGTAAGACTTTTCAATATGAACAGTTATAGCAGAACAATTGGGTTTACAAAAGTTTACAACAAAATTAAATGGCAATGGATATTAAGAGTAAATGTGAGTACAAAATTATGATTTAACCCAAATTATCTTCATTGAAATTATTGAACAACGGGCGTTGAAATATGTAATGAATCTTTTGAAATAAGTACCGCAAAAACAAAACTATTGTGTAATTAAAAATTAAATATCAAATAGATAAACAATTTTTTTTCTTGTATTTATCTTTAATTTTATTGTATTTACTAATAGAAAGTAACTACTTGCAAAATTTTTTGTATAAAAATATTTTTTAAATCATAAGGGTAAAGGGGTAATGACCAGTCAGAATGACTGTGATCAAGCGCAGATTCTGACTAGCCATAGTCAAGTTTTTGATCTTGTGTTGTCAGAATAGCCTAAGAGGAACATAGTACCTTATTCTCGTAAAAATTAAAATAGCTTAAAATAGGATAAAATGAACGTTTTAATTTACAGTAATTTATACATTCAATCAAAATGAGTACCACCAAATTTCAACATTGGCCGAAAATGTATATTGCGGACATAACATTAAATATTAGTTAAAAAATTCCTACAACTAGTCAAATAGAAATTTAGAGCTGAAATTCAGCAGAGGTGTTCCCCTTTTTATAAGTGAGGGGTAGATGCATAGGTTTTGAAAACACTTTACTTTTAATACGACTTTAAACGATTTGCTTATCTGTATTTTAATTATAGTGAAATAAGACCATGGAAATCGTATTAATAATAAGGGGTTTTCACCTATGCCACTAATTTTTTTTAATTCGATTTGCTTGGGAAAAATGAAAATTTTATCGATAAAATTTAAAGGGACGTGTTGTATAAAGCCAATATTAAAGTTGCCTACCGACATTAGTTATGTGTCAAATAATAAATAAATAATATTTATTGAGCAACTATAGATACATTACTTTCTCAAAAGGAATGAATTCGGCTAAGCTGTTTTTCAATTTATCCTCATTATAATGGCAAAAAAATGTTCACAAAATAATTGACATTGTGTAGAGTTGATCTTCTTAGTAAGATATTATTTAAATACAGTGAAATTTTATACAAAAAAATTAAATATAATATTTACCCTTTCCTGAATTTTATATTTATTTAGCCTGCGAATGTATGGAGAAACATGATCTCTATATGGAATATTACAAGCAAATAACATACAGGAATTTTGAATCTTCTGAAATTTCTCTCGGTTATATTTACTAAGAAAATAGTAATAAACTATAGAACAGTAATCAATGTGAGGATATACAAGAGAAACTTCAAATGATAAATTAATTTTAAGTATGAAACGCTTACTAAATGATAACCATGTTCATTAAAATTCAAATTGCCATTCATAATAAGTCTCAAATTTTTAGCACAAGTCATGTCATGATTTTCTCATCTAAAGACAGTTCAAAACTAGTGATAGACCTGCACTAAAACTCTGGACCTATATATATGGCACTTGACTTTCTAAGATTCAATTTAAGACCATGATTAACACACCATTCATGTACAGCCAATAAATCCTCGTGAACAGGGCCGACTAGAGGGGGGGTAGCCGGGACTAATTCCCGGGGCCCGGACTCAAATGGGGGCCCGGCAGCTCTATAAGGGGGGGCCCGGCAACTGGATTTTGTTTTGTATGAGAAATTCGACACCAGACGAGAGGGGGAAGTTTTAGGCTGGGGACCTTTTTTTTGTAGAAAATTGAATCTATGCAGAAGAGGAAAAGTTTTAGCTGGAGGATCTTTTTTTAAAGCAATTCAAGTACAAGAGGAAAAGTTTTTGCTTGAAGACCTTTTTTATAGAAAATTGAATCGAAGAAGAGGAAAAGTTTTTGTTTAAAGAACTGTTTTTTGGTCACGGGGCCCGATCTAGAGAATTGTCCTGGGGCCCGGCTTGGCTCTCGGCGGCCCTGCTCGTGAATGTGATTAATATCATTTTCTATATTAATATTTTGGATTCCCACATAAAGTTGTAAATCATCTGCATACAAATGATAGTTCAGATCTACATCTTGTCATTGCGAACCCCCAATATGTTGGTCCCAGCTGCCACTGCATAGAAATATGTTTTAAGATAAACTTTTAGACTTCTTCTTCCTCCTTTACATCTAAAATTCATACTAACAAATATTTTCTTTATTCACAGTTGCTGCAATCAGAATCCGGCATATTCAAGTATTGTTTATGTTCTTGTTGTTGACTATTGGAGTAGGTATGAGAGTACAATTCTCGGTAGCCCTTGTAGCGATGACTGATGAAACGGCTTCAAAGAATCCAAACATTCCAGTAAGTAATCAATGCAATATAGCGGGTATCATTATCGGCGACATACTTGAAGGGAATCATTAATTTTATTTGAAGATAAAAATATGTTATCTGGAAAGAAATAGAATTAAATGAGATACTTTTAACACTTTGGGGTTATGTAATTAATACAATATAACTTTAATTTCTGTAACTACTTCTTCTAGGAATAAAAATGTTTGAGATTTTTTACATATTCCTATTATTATAATTATTTAAAAATCCTATAGTTTTCTTAGTACAAATGGCTTTCGACCAAATCTGCTAAAATTTAAATATTTCGTAGGTTTTTAACTACTAATTAAAAGTGTTCATGGGCACACACAATTTTTAGAGTATAGAGAAGATGAATTTTATCGAGTTTTCGTAAGTATCTTTACGTTTTGAGGTCCCCTGAATCTGTTCGACCATTTTTATGATGATGTTTGTTTATGTGTCTATACCCACGAAAACTCATAATTTTTAATAAACTTTTATGAAAATGTTTACAAGTGTAACAAAAACAAACGAAATTTTAATCCACAATAAACTAAATTACGACGATCCCTGCAAAAGAGGTGTGATCCTGTCATAAACCCTCGTATTAAAGAAAAGGTATCTCGAGGTAAAATAAATACTTTATAAGAACTTATTGAAGCAACGCGCATAATCGAACAAACATTATACCTACCAGAAACTACAATTTCCAATGCTCTTACCAAGCTTCAGTCGCTAAAAATGATGACAAATGTTATTCATAAAAATAAAATGCAATGTTCATTCTGTAAGAATATTGGTCAGAACAAACACAAATGTCGAAAATTTGCAGCACGATTACGAAGTGAACAATAGCAACGTTGCCAGCTCCTCTGAAATGTCGCAAATATTCTGTTATAGTTGTAAAACATAACTGTTCAAAGCTATCATCAACCATTGAAGTACCTTATGTCCTTAAAATCACCTTCTGACAGATTAGCCCGATGAGTATTAGCACTCCAACCTTTCGACTTAAAGGTAGATTATACCCCTGGCAGACTAAACGTTGTCGCTGACATGCTATCACAACCTCCGTTAGAAAATATTGAGATTTTCCCATTACAAGCAGCTACTGCAGAAAATTGTGCCCGTTGTTTGGTAGATGAGGTAATCCTCCGATATGGTTTACTCAGACGTGCCATAAGTGAGTGCTGTTATACAACAGGTTGCTCATTGCTTAAGATTTAAACAGTCTCTTATTCCTATTTACTGGCCCGCCACGAATCCAGTAGAACGTAAGAATCGCGATCTCAAGCCGCGATTAGCAATTTTGACCGGTGCCAACCATAAAATGTGGAAAGATCAAATTCCAGCAGTGCGTTTTGCCATGAATTCTTCTCGATCTCAGTCCAGTCCAGTCCAGTGCCGCCTACTTGACTTTCGGTCGCGAGTTGCGAACGCCCGATGACGTGACTAGAGACTTACGCAGTATTGTAAGTAATGACAGTTTCGTACCCGAAATAACTCTCTATCTAAATACACTTTGTAAAACTCGCGAACGTAGTGAAGTTCAACAGGATCGTGCCAAGACTTACGCCGATAAAACTCGTCGCGATAACGTGACATTTACGATAAACGATAAAGTACTCGTAGATATCCATGCTTTAAGTAAATGCAAAGACTCCTTTACTTCGAAATTTGCTCCACGCCGAGACGGTCCCTACCGGATCTCCAAGGTGGTTACCCCAACCACTTATGAGGTATCTACGCTGTTAGACTCACAGGTTATTGGTAAATACCATGTGTCTGCATTGACGCCTTACCGTGTGAAACATATGGATACACAGGATCCAGCCCCTGTTTGTCCTGTCCGTAAGCGAGGTCGCCCCTCAAAGACTACCCCAACATCCACAACTGATGAAGATGTTCCGATTTCTGCCACTACACGTCATAGAAGCGCTTCTGCTTGTGATGTCACTAGAAGACGAATCATCAAGTGCAAGTGCTTGTGCTGCACTTAATCCAACAACATTTTCTCTTGCTTCTACTTGAGAGACTCTACGTGAAGCAAAGGAGGAGGTTATAACACCCCTACTATTAGGCAACCACCATTACATCGTTTACGTCGTATATTCCATCTTGTCTACCGCAATGAACTGGAGTGGGATAGAAAGCCAATGTTCATATTGTATCAATAGAACAAGATGCGACTCTATGGGCGCAGCCATTTTTATTTCTCATCTCACTCGGGAGTGTTTATAATAACCATTTTCTGTTTCACATTGTTATTGTTCAATCCACAAGCTGGTGGATCAGACAATAACAAAGTGAAATAGAAAATGGTTGTTATAAATACTTCCGAGTGAGATGAGAAATAACCTGTCTTCGCCCATAGAGTCGCATCTCAAGCCCATTGACAAGCATTCTACCCCACTCCAGTTCATTGGTCTACCGTCAGCGGTCCATTTTACTAGGCATTGCAAGTAAATTAAAACACAAAACATTTTTGTAGGTTATGTAAAATGTGAGCTCAACGTTTTATGGCGCGTAAGATAGCGTCTTTTGTTTAGTCTCGTTGTTTGCTAGTTAAAAATAAATCACCTAAAGTTATGTTGTCTTTCACTGTTTAAAATGTCTTTGAAGAACCCCATAGCACATAACATCACCTGCTATAAACTAATAAAAACCATAACTTAACATTTATAACGTACTACCGGTGTAAAACAATTAGTATCGATATCCTTTGGGTCTATTTAACTGCTTTTGGTTCCTTTCCTTTTTAATATTTAACTAACTGCACGTTGCTTTTTATTAGTACGACGCCAATGCTTGTTATTCTTATCACTGCTTTTGATTGTATGTTATACCCTTTTTCATTCTTCCATACGTTTAACAAACATTGTCCTAAAATTTTATCCCTACAGAACAGGAGAGTTGTAAACGTAAAGTACACGGAAAAGTTTATATTGCTTTCTATCCAAAAAAGTATATTTTTTGACACATTTGACTGTACAAATATTTTTGCAGGTTTATGACTGGGATAATAAAAGTATTTTATTATCGTCCTTCTTCTGGGGCTATTCAGCTCTTCAGATTATAGCGGCTATGCTGTCGAGAATATACGGATCGAAATCGTTTTTGATCGGTGCCATGGCAATAAATTCTATGGCTTGCTGCTTGATTCCACTGGCTGCTGAATACCTGGGAGCAAACGGTGTTATGATAAGCAGAGCAGTGATGGGGCTTTCGCAAGGATTTTTTTACCCATCAGTATACAATATTTTAGCTCATTGGATACCTCCATCGGAAAGGGCTCAAATGGGATCGTCTGCGCTTGCTGGTAAGATTGTTTTCTACGATGTTATTATTGATTATTATGATTCGAAATACAATCTCATTTTAAACGGATAAATATAAACTAAAAGCGTTTATTTTTTAGGCGGCTCATTTGGCATTATCACTGGGATGCCAATTACTGGGTTCATATCAGCTTCTTGGGCAGGATGGTCGTATTCGTTCTACTTTTATGGTACCTTAGGATTTCTGTGGATAATTGGATACTACTATTTAGGAGCCAGTACACCAGCTACTCATCCGAACATCTCAAAAATGGAGCAGGCTTTCATAGAAAATCAAATGGATATGAATGGAGCTGAAGTGAGTTATAAATTTTGATGGTTTAAAATGATGAAAGAAGAAAAATATGTTTATAGCTGAAAGTACCTTGGAAAGCAATTGTAACCAGCCCTGCTTTTTGGGCGATATTCGTTGCTTATATTGGACAAACTTGGGGTTTTCAAACCATCCTTTCGGAGTTGCCCATTTACATGAATAAAGTTATGAAGTTCAATATGGAGACTGTAAGTATTTTTTAAATTAGAATTTTAATCATAATAGGGAAAAATGGAGTTTTAAGTTGCACTTCCCTTGATATTTATATCAAGGAAGCTCTGATGACAACGCTACAACTTGACATATTTGGAATAGAACCTGATATAGGATTTGGTGAGGAGAAATGTATTTTTAGCGGGATCATTAACCTAATAGTACAATAGTACTAGTTAAGTTGTACTAGTTGTCATATCAGCAAAAGTAATTATCAGAAACAATTTCACTGGAAGAAACATACTCATCTATACAGGTAGCAGACAAGTACTACTCACCCTAAAGAGACCACGAATTTACTTAGGGTTACTACTAGAATATCAATAAGCCTTGACCGAAGTATCTGTCAACAATGTGTCTCACCTTAAAATAGATCAAAGACCACGCCTATATTTAAGAAGGCAGCCAACCAATAAAGTTTTTGGGCTTGGCTCTTCTATTGGACTAACAATATTGGTCTTAAAAAACCTAATTCAAGATTCCCTTGTTAAATTCAAGGAAATTCGGGATGAAAAAAGAACCTGGAAAGTTGCTAGGATATTAATTCACACCTACACTGCCGTCGTAAGAAAACCCCAATAACTACGCAAACTATGGCATGGAGATATTTGCAATTAAAGAAATTATTAGTGCCAGCATTTTCATCCGTGGCACCAATATTTGGATACTTTCAACTACATGTAGTTAAAAATAAGTTTTATTTATTTTTTTGTGCTAGCTCCTGGGTTAAAAGGTTTTTGTTACAAAAATGTTAGTTACGGAGTAAAATCAAGTTGACTTTTCAGGATATAGAATAAATATTACCAAGAAGTCTCTTGCTTTTTTAAAAAAAGAAAGCTTTAATATCAGAATGGTCAAATAATCTTTAATATTTGTAATCTGTTAGTTACGGGAATTTGGCTTATGACGGCAGTACAGCAAATAAATGACTAGACAGAATCACATATTTTGATTGGTCATTGCCAGGCACTGAAAATCAGCGAGAATTTACTAACATCGGTCAACATAAAACGATTTTGTCAACTACTTTAAATCTAAAGGATGCACAATGTGCCTAGTAAGGCCTAAGTGGTTTATGGCAACCCAGAATTCTTGCCGCGAACGAAACTGATTTTTTTTAGCCTGCTATAACATCTACTGGCACTACCACTGTACCAATAACGGTTTTTATTTTTAATGAACATTTCTTTCCAACTACTATTTTTCAAATATCTGTCCTAATTTTCTATTTCGCTTATTATTGCAATTTGAGAGTAGGATAATGTTTGATTTAAGTAAAAAACAAAAAAATAAATACTCATTGTCTCGCCGTCATCATAAAATATTTTTCTTTTACAGAATGGACTTTTGTCAGCTGCACCGTATCTTACAATGTGTTTGATAATATTTTTATCAGGATACCTTGCTGATTTTCTTATAAATAAAAACTATTTGATGGTAGAACAGGCAAGACGTATTTTTTCTTTCTTCGGTAAGTATTAAAAAAACCACAATATTTTGTTCTATGGAAAGTATACCTTTTGGGATAACTAACTGAAACACTGGCTGGGTATATTGAAGCAAAGCTTTTGTAAAATAAAGTTACGAATAACTAGAAATGTTTTAAAGAAAATATATAATTCGGATAGCTATTTGGAGGTTTAACACAAACCTGTTGTAGAACTCCTGACATTATGACGTCACCTTTGCATCAACCTTGTTACCTGAACATTGGGATAGGAGCTTTGATGTAATGGTGACGGATGAGGAGACTTTTTGAAACAGCTATCTGAGTTTGGTATACATATAATATGTCATCTAATTTATGCAATAAATAGCTTCAACACCTGTAATAATCTTTTATTATACAAGTAAATAGTAATAATTGTGGAATAATATGAAGAATATTAAACTTGGTATTTTTTCCCTATTTATTGCAGCTAGTTTTGTACCAGCAACGGCTTTGGTAGTATTAAGTTTTCTGCCTGAAGATTATATAACACTATGTGTGGTCATGATAATTATAGCTATAGGACTACAAGGTGCATCCTCAGCTGGATTCGAGATTAACCACATTGATTTATCACCAAATTTCGCTGGAGTCTTGATGGCGATTTGCAACAGCTGTGGGGAGGTTTTTTCTAATTTAGGTCCTCTGACTGTCCATTTTATTGTCACTGATGAAGTAAGTAGATTTTTTTTGTCAATTACGATTTTTCGATAAAGTTAATAGTTTGGAACATTTGAATAAAAAAATGCAATATCGATACCAAAATTTATTACTCTTGTTCTTTAGTGTTAAGGGGGTTTAGATATTTCTTTTAGTCTAAAACAAGACGCCAATGGTGAATATCAAATTTGATTATGTCAAAATAATAGGCTGTTTATTAGATGAGATCATAGCCCTCAGAAAGTCTAGATACCGCTTGGCGTATACTGTCAATACAAAAAATGACCCCATTCAAGCTTGTCGCCATGTTAGGTAAATTTATGTTTTGGCTACACTGATTTTTAGTTTGTGTGTTCTGTAATACGTGAACACCGATAATCTGCACTTTGTTATTAGTTATAAGTGAGTGAGACGCACAATTTCTAATTTCAAATTAAGAACAAAACTTTGACAAACCTATTTGATTTTCCTAGATCTGTTCAGACAGGACTGGTTTTATAAAATTTCTCGTTCTTGAAATGTTATTTTTACATGGTTATATATTATTGGATAAGTGGTTTGTGTACATATTGCTATGAGAATTATAGAGAAATTCAGTGAGATTTATGTAATATAATTCAAATTACAAGTAAACCATCTGTTCCTGTTTGGCAATATGGAGAAAATACCTACTTCAATGTCAAATGTACTATTTAAAAGAATGTGATTGTTAACCGGTCATTTATTTATATTATATTATGAAAATAAAAACTCGAATTTTTTAACTAGGGAAAGATATACTTACATCGGTAACAAGGTATTTTTAGAAAAACTAATAGATTACTCCTATTCCTATAGTTTATTTGAAAATGAATAATAGCAAAATTATATAAAAATATGGACCTTTGCCATAAAAACTGTGCTACCAAGCATTTTCAAATAAACTATAATGATAATTTAATAGAGCGAGTATAAGATCTCACCTGTTAGAGAAATTGGGGCATAGGGAAGAAATTATGAAGCAGGTAAGCAAAGTCATTGCAAAAGATAAATATATAGAAGTTATTTTAAAAATTTGATAAAAAACTAGTGGAACAACAAATGGAGTTGTCGCTATCGGAGATCCAATCAGCAGAAAGTAAAAAAAAACTTTGGGAATGTTGGAAAAGGGCACAGCAATAGGCCCAAAACAATTCCTTGGTTTTTTAATAAATATAATCTGAGATGCAAAAAATACTGCTAGAGTGGAGAAGCAGTATTGTTCTAATGTAGAAAACCCAGGGACATACAGCAGTGCACTAACCATAGGCGAATAGTCACTAAATTATACAAGAGTCCCATCTCGATTTTATTTTTAAATATTTTTGAGAATACCTATTATTATTTGTTACATTGAGTTTAATAAAACCACAAATTTCGAATGTATTGAAAGTTATTTAAAAAGTACCTCTATAAATATATAGAAAATGTGTATATGACTAACTGGTATTATTAATCTTTTTTTGGGGTAGGTAAATATATTTTGAAAAATTTACAAACTTCTTTTGAATAAAAGACAAAATATTTCTGTTTTTATTAACATAATATACAATTATATATAATTATACAAACATAATATATACCTATTTAAAAGAAAATATTACATTTTACAAGTATCGCATATTTATATGAAATAACTTACTCAATAAGAAAGAATTAAATGAAACAAATTAATAAACAATGGATATGAAAAATTGCTTTAACAATTAGATAAACTTATTCTTACATATTGCTTTAATCAATTTATTTACTATAAAAGTATATTTCCTATCATTTTTTACATATAATAAAATAAAGCATAAAACATACAAACTATAATATGTACCTACTTAGAACGGAACTAATATTATTGTATCAAGGTAGTAATAGTGGACATTTTCCGAATAAAAAAAAGTAAAAAAGAAGTAACGGTCGACACGTTTTTCTGACTATTGGTCTTCATCAGTACGGTGCAGCCAAGTTCAAAGGATCATGGAACTTGTGTTGGAAAAATTGTACAATAGGTCACTAACAAGGAGCCAATAACACATTTGCCGTTTCAGCTAGTATCCCCAAATTTTCTGGGCTTATACTAAAGTCACAAAATGATTCAATGGTCTTCCTATGGCTATCAGTTATTCTTTCCTAACATTTTTTGGTATGCTACAACAAAACATACAAATTATTTGATTTTGTAAATTCACAAATATTTGTGAAAACTTACACATGAAATGTTATTCCATCCTTGTATCTTCTACCGTTAGATGCATTGTTACATTCACGTACAAAACAAAAAGAGATTTTGAAAATCCTGTAAAAATTTAACACTAAACCACAAATGTTTTTTATTAAAATAAAACACTAAACGACTAAACTAAAAAATAATGTTTTAAATAAAACCTTTACTAGAAGAACAAAATAAACAACACAACAGATAATAAAATCGATTATATACGTCGAACGCCGATCTTACGCTTATTACTAAACTTGCGCCGATTCTGTCTTGTCAGTAGTGCCAACTTAAAATTTATTGACATTTATTTATCATGGCGCCCATCATATGGGGGGTCAAAATGTTTTTACGATGCGGTATTTAGACCTTCTGAGGGCTATGGATGAGATATAGAGGTGTTGCTATAAAAAGTTAATCACAGTATGCTTGTGTTAAAGTAAATAGTAAATAGCGATAGCATATGCAGGATAAGAAACGATATCGAATCGATGTTGCCAGCTACAGGTCATTAATGCAATGGATTTGACCTGTGACTAGCAACAATGATGCTATATCGTAGATTTGCTAATTTCACCCATTTTCAACATATGGACACCACTGCTGACCATATTATGTTCTTTTAGTGATGAAAACATTACATTAACTAAACTTTAAAATAATAATATCAATTAATTCATAATTACCACCGACAATAACATAATTAACATAAGTAAATATTTAATTATCTTTCACTATTTGATTGTTACAAAAAAAATGATTTTCAAGAACATTTTATGAGTATAATATCATAGCACAGTATTAACATATTCATTATATCTTGTTTATATTTACTTTAGTACTTTTTTTTTTCAGACAAACAAAGCACAATGGAGAATAATTTTCCTTGCAGCTGCAACGTCCTATATCGTCAGTTGCGGAATTTTTCTTACATACATGAGAGCTGATATTCAGCCTTGGAATAATGTTAATAACATCGTCAAAGAGAATGAGAATGATAAAAATGAGAGGTATATCGTAAACAAAATTGTGTGATACTCAAATTGTACATATTTTATAGGTTACTCAATAAAATTAGTGTCACTAAAGCAGTTTTTTATTGAACATAGGTTGGAGAATATTTTATTCTAAACAAGAAGATAAATCAAAAAAAAAAAACTAAAAAATTAGAAACTTTAGGAATTTTTTTTAAATCTATGTAAAAATTCGAAAATCCGCTTCCAGACGAGTATAGATAAAGGTGTACTTGACTAAAAAATATTGTTTGTTCCCAAACAACCCAATAATCAACATATCTGATAGTATTCCTCCGAAAACGAAATGTACCTAAATCCTCTTTTTAATGAACTAAAAATAAATTAATATTAGTACTAAATCTTTATCAACCTTCGTAAAATAATATATACTGACGACAGAAATCTATAGTTTTAGAAATTTTCACTCGGGCAGCACTTTCCAGTGCAAAAATCTCAATTTCCAGAGATAAATGAGCCACCATAATACGATTTTATTTTAAAATGTACCTACAATAAACTAAAAAATATGGTAGTACCAAAAAGGATGAAACTATGTTCCTTTGGGAGTACTTTTTTGCAATTTAATTTTATTTAAACAAAAAACATCTGAAAACTTCTGAAAAATAGAAATTTTTGTATTTTTTTTAGGACGAGTGCCAAGATCGCCAGCGACTCCATCAAAAACGAAACCAAAATTATCCTTTTAAATCTTAAATCATCCTTTTAAATTATTTATTTTAAAATAAAAATCCTAAACACCACCTTATAAAATATTTGAAATGCTTATTTTTAGCATAACTACCTACATAATGACATCAATAAATAAGTTCCATTTGGGTAGAAACTAAACTGCAAAATACCGATCTATATGCCGGCAGCTAACGTGTTTAAATTATTTCACCCAGCCCCACATGTACAAAATTTCCCAGGCGTACTTAGGAAACCATTAACGGATCATTTTAAATTATTGTTATGATTGAAAGATTTGGAAATACCCCTTAATCTGTTAATTTGCATTCGATAAATTTGCTGGTAACTATTTCAATAAGAAGAATTGGTAGTATGAATAAGTAGTTTCCGCAAAAACGTACATAGGTAAAGATAGTGACAATAAGTGATAGAAGAGTACAAAAGTAGTTTAATATTATAAATAATATGTTTAGTGAAATTTTTAAGTGTTTATCGTTTGTTTTATTATTAGTGATAATGAAAACAGGTAAAAATTAGTAGAATAATTATTTATAATGTTGAAGAATTCTTTTTTTATTGCTAAAATTTAGAATGTATCTATTTGAAGGTCGGTATTACACTATAAAAGATATGTGACAAAGATTTTGGATGATTTTTAATGAAAAATATGATATACGATCTTTTATAATTATAAAATGGTTTGTAAAAGATATTTACCAAATATCCTTGATACTCTAATACGGACCTAATAATTCAGTACCAGTCTTGTTTATCTATTTCTTTACTATATTTTTATATGTATTTTTAGTTGACTGTGATACAAATAATTGTAACTGTAAACCATTGAGGCAATGTCCGACTTTTATAAAGTACTTAAGAACTTTAGAAAAACCTCTGAAACAAACTACTGTGGAGTTTATAAGGGGTCAAAAATGTGGATATCAAGATGGATATCCGAAAATATGCTGTTTGAATTCATATACGAATAATCCTTTGTTGAGGAACAAGCCACCTCCAGGTAAGTCAAGTTATATAATTTTACGTGGGATTATTTATAGTACTCTGATAAAAAAAAATTTTATTTGATTTAGTAATGCTTTAGAAATATTAAGTTAATTTTGAATACCTATCTCACTCTGTAATATTTTTGAATGTGATACTTTTGGATTAGAAGTAACAGTTATAAAATCATTTAGAATAGTAGTTATATGAATCGCTTGCATCACTGGAATAATTTTTATTTGATTATAATCTATAAATTTAATTTTTCAAGATTTACCCGATACAATCTAAGTCTGCAGATTCAGGTTCATTATATGAAATTATAATTATATTATTTGATAATTCTAATAATACAAAGTAATAATTTTCGTATTACACAAAGTAGACACTTCCTAATTAGTGTGCCATGAAGTTTCAAATATTAAATAATTATCTAGAGAGCTGTCATTTTAGATTTGTACATTATAATTACTAAAAATAAGTAGCAGTGTGTTATAGGTATAGAGGGTGTCCCTTTAGTGCCTTTATAGGTATAGAGGGTGTCCCTTTAGTGCCTTTAAATTTGTGTTATAGACATGCAAACAAACTTGTTTAGAACTTTAAATAAAAGAATAAAAGTTATATGGATTTGAAAAATACATATTTCAAAGATATTTTTGAATATACAGGATGTTGCATTTTAGCCTGGCAAATAAAATGAATGTTTTTAAATAGAATACCCTGCATTTTATTTTTAGAATGGTTTGATATTTCTGTATTCAATCCTAGAATGTTTTTAACAATTGCCAAACAATTAATTTTTTTTTGAAATTAGAGAATGATGCAGACCCCAAATTAAATTATCATAATTTAGGTAGGTTTACATTGATTTCAAAATTGTTTAATGTGCAGACTTATGAAATACTAAGCTAACGAATAGTGGTGATAGAACTGGTTTATTTTATACAAGGTGTTTTGAAACATGTCTTCAAAATGAGTAATTTTACGTTCATTTTACTCAATTTTTTCAAATGCAACACCTTGTATATTATCTTAGCATAAAATTCCTTATAAATTTGCATGTACAACGATACCAATATGCTAGTCAATAACACATGTACTGATCGATAGCTATTTTATCATTAGAAATACGAAGACATTTTTAATATAACAGTTTTATGACCATATTTAACAATTATTCTTAAATATATAGGGTGCTTACTAAATCTATACTTTCACCCTACATGTAGTTATACATATTTGATGGTTTTCACATCGTCAAAGAATTTTAATTGACTTCATTTATTTGCTATGTTGTATATAGGGTATGTCAAAACGTGAGGTTACGATTTTTTTAAATTTTTTAAATAGAATACCCTGTATTAATTGGTTGTATAACATATAGAGCATTCCATTTAATAAATTGAGAAAATCGTTACCCTGCATTTTGACACACTTTAAATACAACATAGCAAATAAATGAAGTTTATTAAAATTATTTGACGATGTGAAAATAATGAAATAAGTATAACTACCTGCAAGGTGTGTTGCTTTAAAAATTTATAAGTTTGGTCAGCCCCTCGTTTATGGACCACCCTGTATATTTAAGAATATTTATTAAACATGATCATATACAACTTACATATTGTTTTTTTTGTCATATTTCCAATAATAAAACAACTATCGACCAATTAAGCACTGATGGCACACCCTGTATTTGTGTTATTGGCTAAAACATATTGGTATTGTTGAATAGGTTAATTTATAAGGAATTTTATGCTATAATAATAATATACAGTGTGTTACGTTTGGAAAAGTTGAGTAAATTGAACTTAAAATTTATGACATGTTTCAAGATACTATGTATAAAATAAACCTGTAAGTCAAATGGCACCATCAATCATCTTTAAGTCGCCCCGGAGCGCCACGGCAAATAATAATAATGCCGTCCCTTTCCCCGGACAAGCTCAGCTTTTGGGGTTAAAATTCACTCGTAAGGGGGTGAATTAGGGAGAGTATTATTATTATATTATTATTAAACCATTCTAAAAATAAAACCAAATACAGAGTGTTCCATTTAAAAAACCTTTTGAGTGGCAAAAATGCAACACCCTGTATATCCAAAATTATTTTTAATTGAAACTTATTTGCGTGTTTATAACACAAATTAAAATAATAATAATAATTACGCACTAGAAAAAGCATAGTGTTCAACTGTTAAGGAATGCTTATTTACTACTCGTTTCATTTGCAGCTCATGCTGTAAGTACCACTTCTTGTTCGTTAAATATTTAGTTTGGATTTATTCATAGTAATTGAAATTTACTTTGTTTTGCTTTTGAATTATTAACTGTTGAAGTTTAAAATGAAGTAGGTATAACTAAATATTATTAAAAATCACCTCAGTAATGTTTTATTTTTGTTTGTTTTACTTTAGAACACGATGTTATAGATGTATAGAGTGTGATATAGAACGCTAAGCATTATATATTTTCATTCTATAATAGTTATTGTTATGTAAGTGACGTTTATGGTCCTTAATGGCGCAAATTGTCTTTTATCTTTTTGTTTAGTTTAATTTTTTATACAATTATTGTGAAATTTATTATTTTTATAAACAAGAATGAAGATATAAAATAAGAAGAAAAATTACCTTTATTTTTGTAATAATAACAGTAATACTGGAAATAGTAGACATCAGAAAGGTTTTAAATAAACAATAAATTATCATTATACGATGTTCTTCAACATCCCTTTAATCTTAAATGTTCAGCAAGAACTAGATATCTGCCTTTGATTATTGTATGTGGCTGTAATACAATTTTGTGACTTACTGATAGGAAATCAGTTTTAATAATTCATTCTATGTTTTCTTTCGAACAAAAATGAAGACAATATAAATAATAATTCTTTTGTTAATTCATTTTAACTTCACGCTATTATTTAACGGTATTTTTTATTTTAACAGGATAGGTTAATAAGACAACTTATAAGACTTAGGCAACTTCTCATACATTTTCTCGTAAATACAGTTGCCTGTCTATATTTTATTAAAACTAACATTATATACTTTTTAATTACGAATTTTATTAAAAATTGTATTGCCAGTATATGCAAAAATAGTCCATTAGGACATAAATTTATTTGCACTGCAGTCACGCATGGAGCGAATAGAGAAAAACAGATTGTTTCATTTAATTTACTATAACGTAAAAATGTCATTAATTTAATATACAAAACAAAAGTAGAAAAGATCTAACCTATATTGTAGCCAGTAAGATCCTTAGATACTCTGAGGTAAGATCTTATAAAGGCGTAGGGTCCGATTACAATAAGAAAAACAGAGCTACGTCATCACTTAGCGGAATAATTTGTTGGCTATCGCCGCCTACTGGTAGTTTAGTAGCGTGTCAATGCATTAGGAATATAATAATTATTATTATTATTTTAAACCAATCAACTCACTTATTCCTTATTTAATAGCTGATAATATATATTTGAAATTCGAAATAATGATGATGACAGCGGTGTTCCTTAAGGTAGATTCATACTATAGGTCCGGTCACGGTCAGATCACGGTCCGGTCGCGGTCCAGTCAAATATTAGAATATGCAATTTGTATTAAAGTATTCATATTACTCTACGGTCAGGTAACGATCTAGTCAATTGACCGCGCTCTTTCTTTCTGCGAATATTTTGAACTTTTGCTGTTGGCTTCTCTCTTCCTCATCTAGGATGTAAGCCATTATGACCAGGTCTCTTGTTGAAAACTTTGAAAACATTGCTTGTTTTAAATTAACTGACAAAAGACTGATGAGCGACCGCAACAGTGTGAATAGTTCATAAAAAAAAAACCTGACCGCGACCGGACCGTGACCAGACCTATAGTATGAATCTACCTTTATTGTAATCGGATTTTACCAACAAGTGCACGAATTATACTCCACATTAAAATATTTGAATGTCTCTTACTAATTTTTATTAGACAACGTTTATTAACATTTCACTTTTTTTCAGGTAAACGCTGCAATTCAACCTCGGAATGCGTCATTTTGAAGGACTGCGTTCCTTTTATGACTTTCATCAATTCGATAGAAAAACCTTTGAAACCAACCGTTGTAAAGTTCCTTAGAAATCAAGAATGTGGATTTGAAAAGGGATTTCCAAAAGTGTGTTGCGGTAAGGTGCCAAGAAACTTACGTGTTTTGAAACATTATAGACTGAATCCACGAGTACCTGTTAATGTCTTAAGTGCTCCCATGGAAACTAACGATAATGGAATGACGGATTTGTTCAGAATTGTGAATAAAGAAAATATTCAAGCAAGTAGTGTTAAGTCGCAGGATCTAAGAAAGAAATCTGAAGCTATGAATAAACAGTTTGCCAGTATGCAGTTTATGGATTTTACCGATGGTTTTGATTTGATGATACGGAAAAAGCGGTCCGATGTTGGTGCTTTTGTTGATGTAGAAATTAGATAATATGTACTATAAATTATGATTAATATTAAAATTAAAAGTAACAAATATTTTATTATTTCACTATTAAAAAGCAGGAAAATTCGTCTCTCAAACCAGGTAAATAATATAAAAAAAGACAGAAGCCAATACATAAAACTAAATTAATAATCAAAAAGAATATTTTTTTTTTAAATATAAATTTTTTATTCGTTATTTTACATTTCAAATAAATTGTTAGATGTATTAGTGACGATCTAAAAATGAGCCAAACAAAGGTAGGAGTACCCTTACATATCTGGCATTTAACTACAACTAAATTTATGTACGCAGCAGTAACATTTTTTGTACTTCTTTTTAGTTACTTCCTGTGACAAACATTTACACGATGTTAAATTGTATAAGGGTCTATTTATGCTCCCTTATTACCATAGAAATAGTATAGAAAGCCGATTCCATATATCAAAAATGAAACCATAAGGAGAAAATAGTGTGTCGGAGCTCATGCGTATAACGGTGCTGGCGCGAACAGGACCGGTGCAAGTTTTTTATTGATCGAACAAATAGTTCACACGATATTTCAATAATACATTTTTAGAGATGATTCTATACAAAAAACGATTAAAAAAATTTCAAGTTAAGGTAAATATGGTTCTGACAGTCCTTATTAAGAAAGATATGGCATAAAATATGAATTAGTTAATTTTCGGCAATCATTAGTACAGTAGTCATGAGATTTTCCTTGTGATTTTAAAAATACTTTCCAGAAAAACCACGTGCTCCGGTTTTGACTACGTTATTATTAAACAGCGAAATGATATACAAAAACTTTAATCCACAATCTAAATTAGGTAATATCACAAGAAAATCACTGTTACAATAATTAATTACTTAACCAAAAACTAAAATACTTTTTAGGTACCTACGTAACCAGAAAGGAGCTGGACCATTTATCCTAATATTGATTTTCTCTCTCCCTACGGTAAAACTTAAAACAATAACAAATTGCCTATCTACTAGGGTCGGTAACTGAACGTATATACATAATGGGCGGATTTTGTTTATACTTAACATTACACTCGCGCATTTAAATATAACTATGCATATAAATATTTACAAACAAAGATACTTTTCCAAACAGGCAATCATTAGTACTGTAGTCACGAGATTTTGCTTGTGATTTGACATCTTATTTGATAATATCATTTGCTACAACTAAATTTAATCTGGGGAGTGCAAAATAGGGCCCAGGAATATTATGTTCGATATTTTTTTACATTTTGTCAGCCGAGACTATGAGTCGTTAGACAGAAAACCTTTCATGTTACCATTTTCAATATAAATTAAAAAATACTACTACATTTACTTGGTACATATTTTATTTTAATTTTGAACCCTTTTAAAAGGGTCTTTCGGTTCCATAATAAAAATTAGTTGCTGCTTACTAGAAACATTCTATATAGCCTAAACCAATTTATAGTTTGTTTTCGATCAATTTAATACAAAGATTTAAAGTTTTTAGTCGATGATAACATTCCACACCAGCAAATTGCAAACCTATTTTATAAATAATAGGAATAAACTTGTAAATCATTAATTTGGTAGTTATCTCACTCATATGATTTTTTTGTTTATATGACTATTTCGATTTCTAAATATATTTTGGCCTTACAATACGAAGCGTTTTGTATCTACCACTTTTTTAATGAACGATGAATGTTGACAGGCGTGTACCTTTTTCGGAACAAGAGGCGTTTTAACGAAGGAAATGATTTTCGAACTATCTAGTTAGTTTTCGGAAAAATAGAAAACGTTTGAAGAAAGTTGTCAATAACAGTTTGTCGTTCATGTGTTTCATTTTGATCAGCTTTCATACTAAATTGCGTAGAATATTTTTCCGATTCAAAATCGAGATTCTCGATATTTCCACAGTTTATTTATAATACCTTCTAAACTGGATTTATCTATCATTTTATATACTTTATAATATATGTTCATGCCCTACTTTTCACTTTATTAACAATTTTTTTTTAACATACTTCAAAATGGTAGGATATTCTCAATTCGTTGAAATATTTTTTTATGTATGTTGAGCGATAATTCTTTACCACGTTGCCCGATTTCTAGGATTCTTTTTGTTAGAAAAGGAAACAGTTTTATATACATTAAGTCAAGATCTGAAGATGGGATCCATAAGAAAATCATTAACATCTTTATTTTTAAAGTAGGTTTTTTTTTAATTTCTTTAAACCTTACTGGTTCGAACGCGATAAGGAATAAAGAAATGTAAATAATTGTTGTGTCAGCCAAAAAGCGAAGAGGAAGTACCGATTAAAATATCGAGTGACAGAAAGAGTTCCTAAGATTGTTGAGATCGGGTTTATGTTTTAAAATGCCTTAAAACCGATATCGATAATGTCTCCCCGTCGCTGGGCAGCCTGTATATAAATATACAGCTCTCTATTTACATAATTATAATTCTTAGGTAGGTTTAGATTTGCAGACATAAATCTTGTAATAAATATAACAGCTGCCTAATACATTGATTACATTTTCATTAGCCAATGTAAAAATGTCTTTTATTGTACCTAGGATTTGACTAAACACTACACAAAACTAAAAATAAAATGCCACTTTCATCGTGTAATTAATGCCGCGTTTGAGAATCCACATCGGATGCATTTTTTACATCTCGAGCGTTTTTTATCCACATCGGACACATCTGTCCCATTACATTTACGTATACTGAATCACGTGATCAAAGATTTACTACTTACTACATCTCAGATGCATCCCGATGTGGATTCTCAAACGCGGCATAAATAATAAACTACAAACGGTCCTGTAAGGGCAGCGTCATATAGCCTTGAAACACCGGATTTTAGTGCTATTGCCAGGTCAATATTGAATTTGTAGGTGAATCGCTTATTGAACATTAAAAATACGGTATTAATGACATTAATACGGTATTTGTATATATTTTTGGGAATGTAATTACACATAAATATTATTAGTTGATTATTTAAATGTTTATAAGTTATTTTGTGGCGATATTTCATAGATATAAACTGTTTAAATCATATAATTTAAAAATTAATTAATTTAAAATTCTTTTCTGTTAGGTATGTTCAATATATTTGGCAACACTACAGGGACAAGTCATGCATATTGCGCAAGCTTCTAGACACACTATTTTGCGATGTCAGGCGCAGAGACGCGTTTTTATGCACAGTAGGTTTCAATTTCTGCTTAAATGTTATGTTTATATTGGTCTTCTTTATTATTTCTATGCTTATTACACTGTTTTTGTCACACGAACTTTATGATGATTTTTGTTCATGTTAGTGTACCCTCATTAACAATATATAATAATTTTGTTTCAATCACGTCCAGTTTTTTTGTGACGGCTACATATTAATTTCTGACTGTGTCTTTTTTTTAATAATTTCATTTAGACGACTGTATAACTATTGCATTCAACTTACATCTTATATATGTTTGTTACATCGCATGGGCATCGTTTGGGGGGGGGGGGCAAGGGGGGACAGTTGCCCCCCCTGGCTTTTGCGACTTAATCAACAACGAGTAAGATATGCATTACGAACAACAATCTCATAGAAATAATATTCAGGCTAATATAGTTGAAGAATATTATAGGTTGAATATATTTATTGCATATCTGGGTTCCGCTTTTCCAAAGACTTTGTTAGTTTTTCCTTAAGCCTGTTACATCTCAAAAACACAAAAAATACTTTTTTCACTACCGATAAGAAAATGAAAGTGGTGGAAAAATTTGGAATCGACAATTTTAAAGCTGAATGCCAAACTGGAATACGAAAGAGCTTTCTGCACACAATGCTCTCCATTAATGATATAGCGTCCAAATATTGTGAATTTTATCCAGATAAAGTGGTTTAAAAACTGGCTCTTCCACCAACAACAGAGTTAATCGAAAGAACGTTTGGAACATTAAGACATGTTAAAACATGGGTGCGGTCTATTCTATCAGTGCGAAGTCATGGTAGGGGAAGCAAAAGCGATACTAGCGCAAGCTGCGGATAATTAGAGTATTTTAGGGCGATATTTTGTAATTTTGGCGTATCAAATACACGTATACATTTTACTTTTTACTAAAAAAATAGGTAAAAACAATAAAATGAGCAACCGGAGTTGCTATGTTGCAAATTATACTAGCAAAAAGACTATAAATTATATGAATGTTCAGTAGTAAAATCGAAATTAAATAAAAGAAATAAATGGACAGCTGTATAAAAAGAACAAAAAAAACCTTTATTTTTGTAATCATTAAGCAATAAATTATTTTTTATGATATTCTTCAACATCCCTTAAATCTTAAATGTTTAGCTAATGATTAGATTTCTGTCTTTAATTATAGTATATGGCTGACATGCAATCTTGTGACTTATTGATAGGAAACCAGTTTTATTCATTAATTTCTATGGGTTCTTTCGAACTAAAAATGAAGAAAATATAAATTACAATCGCAAATATACCAATTATTTTTGTTATTACGTTTTAATTCTACGTTATTATATAATGGTAATATTTTTATTTTGACATTATTTAATCTATTCTTTAGGCAAGATTTCATACAGTTTCTCGTAAATACCTACCTGTTTTATTATTGATGTTTATTGACTTTTTTTAGCTGAAGTAATAAAAATATATAATAATAATAACAATAATTTTTTAACTTGTTATAAAATTAAAATTAACATATATATTTCTTAATTACGAACTCTATTAAAAATTGTATTGTCAGTATACGAAAATATCGTCCGTTAGTTCATAAAATTGTTGGCGTTGCTGTCATGCACGGAGTGTATAATGAATGAAAATAGGCTGACTGAAAAATAAATTGTTTTTAGTAGAGAAAAACGAAATTTCCTTGTGTTTTCTTGTGTTCATCGACATATTTGAGTGAGTTTTTTTATGTTTTTGTTTTTTATATTATTATGTTCATATTTTTCTTTTATATCACACCTTCTGTTTGTTTTTTAAAAATGTGCTTTACGTTTCTTGTTTTTTTTTAATTTTAGTTTTT